ACTGTAGAAGTCTGACGAATTTTGACGAGCTGTCCATCAACATTCTCATATTCTAACGGACCGAAGCGAACAAGAAGCCCTCTTTTGAACTGCTCCCACAAAGGAACTCCGTGGAAAGTTTCATACTAATTGTACCACTGGATTGCATCTCCATCGAGCTGGATTGAGGCCACTTCTACCTTGGATTCTTCTAGGGTTCTGTGAAAACGAAAAAAAATTTCCGCCCTAGAGATCCAACTAGTCGGAACCCCATTTTCCGCTATTATCATTTGGTATCAGAACATTTTACGATAAGACTTTAGGGTCTTATCAATTGGTATCAGAGCATTTTACGATAAGACTTTAGGGTCTTATCAATTGGTATCAGAGCAACGATCCTCGACGTTCTCATTGCAGTTCATCATCTCAAAAAAAAAAAAAAGCCCGTAGCCACTCCCCAGCTTCCAAAGCCGCAGCCACACCTCTGCTTCCGGTTAGCCCACCCGTCGCCGCTACCCCCCGACCACCAACCTCTCCTTCTCCACAGTCGGCGCTGATTCCCGGCCGACCGACCACCGTCGCCGCTGCCCCCCCAACCAGCCTGCCACCGTCGATTCCTATTTTCCACTGTAACCTCAACCCCGGCAACGCCACCGCAACCGCCCTCCAACTGAAACGCAACAAGCTCTTGTGCGGCCGCTTCAACCTCGACAACGCACGCACCGACTCCTCTTCTCAACCTCGGCCACTTCAATGGCACCGTCGTGTCCTCAACCGCACGCGATCCCTCGGCGTCACCAACGCCTCCTTCCGTAGTGTGGTAGAGACAAAGCAACGCTGCCTACATCGACGTCACCAATGCCTCCTTCCATAGTGTGGTAGAGACAGAGCAACGCTGCCTTCCATCCGCGTCGTCACAACCACCATAGCTGCAAGCCCTTGGCGACGCTGCCCCCAGCCGCACCACCATCGTTGCCTCCCAACCCTCAGCAGCAGCGATCCCTCCACGCAGCGACCACAACAAGCATTGCTGCCTCCCACGCAGCGAACACAGCTATATCCCCGCATCCTCGCAGCAACCCTTCATTCCAATAATGCTACCACCGATTGCATCACAACAACAACACCGAGTAGGGCAGTGATTGATGCCCTTGACCGACATCAAAAACAGGAGTTGAGATTACAGATTTGCAGTCGTACGTAATGGCTGCCGATAACTCAATGAAAGCACAAATTGAAGCGTTGGAAACCAGAATTGAGAATCGACTAATAGAAGCGTTGGCAACCAAAATTGAGAATCGGCTACAAGAAACCCTTCATGATTTCAAAAAGAGCTTGTTGGAGCACTTTAGCAGGTTTCAATAGGATGAGAGCTCAAGTTCTACGTTGCATAGATCTGAAAATACAGAAAAAATGGTCCTAACAACTATCTTGCATTCTTTTTCAAAAACTTGTTAGTTGTACTTTTCTCCTTTTTGTTGATGACAAAGGGAGAGAAGTTATGATGATTTTATAATGCATACAATACTCATTATATTATGATGATGCATAGAATGAGAAGTTATGATCATGCATGGTAGGATGTAATGTACTTTGATATTTTGATACCATGATGATTTGAAATATTTATGATTTGGAATTATGCATGCAATACTCATGATTTTATGATGTATGTAATGATGTGAAAGTCAACGATTATCATTTTCTGAAATGATACCTTATTTCAATATGACATATTGATAAGGGGAGTTTAGTTTAAACTCTGTTATCAATTGGTTGTCATCATCAAAAAAGGGGAGATTGTTGAATCTCGGATTTTGATGATGAAATCAATTGATGAAGTTAAGATCTAATGTGTGTTTGAGTGATGCAGGACTAACCTCGATCAAGGAAAGGTAATTCGATTAAAACAGGAAGAATCAGATGTTGGACCGGAGTGGAAGATGTCAGAAGATTGGACGTCGTTCCGGAGGAATCATTGAAGTGCCGGAAGGACTTCGTGCCATGAGTTCAGGCATCGAGCCAAAGGATCGGACATTACACGAAGGAGATCAGAAGTTACGAGAGTCAACATACCGATTGGGCCTGAGTTGGAACTATTTTGGACCAAGTAGAAGGCCCATTCAGTGACCCAATGTTAGGTAGAACCACCTATGAGCTGGAAAAGTCAAGAGCACACTTTTTCAAGCTGTCAAGCGATGGTACCACCAAACTGGGTGATGATGAACAAAAAGGGTTGAACTTTATTTTTAAAAACTCGTATATATTGGCATATACCAACATATGGTACCATACTTATCAGTACGTATCGATTCGTCCAAGGACTAATACCATCGATCGACATGATATGATGATGATCCATGGTTGGAACCTCTTTGTCTCAACTTATATTTATCAGCTCTCTCCTTGAATTCCTATAATACAACCTATGATGAAATAAATATATTAAATTAAAAAACATATCATAAGTTTTTTTTATTTTTTTTGGAAAAATGGTTAGTTACAAAAGGGTGGTAAATTTACCAAGACGAAAATGATCTATTAGATATTATGGGTGATTGGTTATTTGTATTTCTTTTACATGGAATTTCTAACTAAATAGAATTACTAACTAAAATAGATATTATAATATTCATTGTTAAAATTATTTTTTCTACAAATTTTTGCTTGCAAATCACAAAGGTGTTTAGCAAAGAACTCAGCAAATTCACTGGATCTAACTTGTGAAAAATAATAATTAAATCACATAGGTTTCGAGATAGGCATCCAGTGACTATCTGAAAGGGGCTAAGATTAGCATACCTGTTGATTGAACAGTTGCAAACTCAAATAAGCTAAGTACAAAGTCCCAAGTGGACAAATGATCATCAACTAGACATCAAAAAACATAATCTGAACTCCTATTAACTGCCTCAATATACCCAGACATGATTAGTTGTTGCAGCAAACACTACCCCCATTAAGAATTGGATCCCTTAGTTTCCTCTGCAGTTTTATTTAATCATTCGACTACCCAGACTAAAATATGAACATCCAAGTTAATCTTGCAATTGTTTAGTATCCATTTCCAGATTTATCCAGTAACTTTACAGAAGAAAAGTAGTAGTATAAACTTTTCAGAATATTCTGACAACATGAACAAACAGAACTTGCAGTTGAGCCTGATGAGTGTATCCTGGATCAGAAACCTTCTTTTCGGAGTCAACCAGGAAAAAATAATTAAAAAAAGAAATTTGCACAATTCCTCTAACACACTATATTATACTGCTCCATCATAGAATTTGTGGTCTAATAAACTTGCAGGTTTCTGTCTAAGCAAGACTAAAATAATACTAGTCATTGAAAACTTGAAATGAAACCAAACTAAGTTGGACATGAATGATGCAAATTCAACCAACATTATAATTGTGCTGAAACCATTCTGTACCTAAGTGAAGATCAGGATGATACCAAATTAGACATATGGAAATCATGTGCAACAATTAAAGTTGGTTAGACTTTGTAATAATGCTTGATAAAATGTAGATGGATGTTTCACAAAATAAATTCAGCTCGCTAGTGAATTGTTACTTGGTGAATTTGGGAGATTGCTACATCCATCACGCCAACTTCCATTCTAACATGACTACAATGCAGCAGATAGTTTCTTATCTAAGGGCCTTGTGTGACCTCATAAATATTGCTACTCATGCCTATTTGAAATTTTATATAAAGCATAACATGTGTAGCCAAACTCATTTTGTATATTCTGTTGGCCAATCCAGTTATGGTATCTTAATGGGTGATTTCCTTGAAAAATCTCCTCCTTTTGGACTTTTCCCAGAAGATGCCATTGTTTTCATTTTTCCCAGATGGTGCCCCCTATTTCCTATAATCCCATAAATGCCCCTTGCTGCTGCCTGCCACTTCCATGTCACCCATCTTGTTGAACGCCCTTCCCCACCCACTGTACCTCCGCCTCATCCTATCCTCGGGTCCTCTCTACTGCCGCCTGCGCCAACCATTGGCCTCTATGCCACCACCTCCATAGTCATGGCGCTGTCATGGAGCACCCCCTCGAACATCCCCACCCCACCCTCCACCTCCTGCTCCCAACACTAACTCCACACTCACCTTGAGAAGAGAAGAGAAGAAGGTAGGGCAGAGGCAGCCACATGGAGGCGACAAGGCCTAGCAATTGGGCAAAAGCAATGAAGATGGCGATGAGGGCCTCGCGGCCGAGCAGAGGTGGCAAGGATGGTGACAAGGGCCTTGTGGTGGGGCTTCGTGGTGGAGACGATGGGGCCTCATGGTGTTGATGACACAAAGGTGGTGAGGCCTTGTGGTAGAGCCTCACAACGACGCAGAGGTGGCGTTGGGAGCAGGAGGCGGAGAGTGAGGCAGGGGGTGTTCAAGGGGGTGCTCCATGACGACACCATAGGGACAAAGGTGGCAGTTTAGAGGCTAGTGGCTGGTGTAAGTGGCAACAGAGAGGAACCCATGAGTGGGATGAGGCAAAGGACGGAGGTACAGCGAGTAGAGAAGGGCATTCAACAAGGCAGGCAATGGGCAGGCGATGGGGCCTCTTAGTGAGGCCTTGAGATAGGGCGGAGGTGGCAAACAGTAACGAGAGGCATTTATGAAATTATAGGAAATAGGGGCACCATTTGAGAAAAATTAAAATGGGGGAAATCTTTTGGAAGAGCCCAAAAAGATGGGGTTTTTCTGGGAAATAGCCCTATCTTAATTAAGTTGAGAGTCAACTAAACTTATTTTACTACATTTGCCATTTTCCCAAACCATGCAAGGTTAAACAATTTATGGGTATCCATCATGACATAATTATTAAAGATAATCTTCTTGAAATTCAGGCATACTAACTTTGTCAATCTCTATAGATTAAAGAAACATAGTAATGATATAGTCATTCATCAAAATGCAACAGCATGTACAGACAAATCGAAAGGTAAACAACGATTATATGGCTACAGTAAATAATGTTTAACTAGTTCAAACAAATTTCCAGGAATAAGAAAACACACCTTCCTCATCACGAGCTTTATCGAACACAAACTTTGCAAGTTTTGGAATAACTTCTGTATCAGTTTCTGATTCAAAGGTGAATCCATGTCGAATTAATGTCTCCTTTAAAACCTGAAGAAGCATAATATAAAACAACTATTCAGAAACATTCACAGTGAAACCTCAATTTGCTATTGAACAAAGATGCATGTATTTTTCTCCCATTTCAAATAGGAGGGCACCTGCAGCTTATAGATCTGAACAAAACAAAAGAGAAGAAAACTTCATTCCAACAAAACTTAATGTGATGGAAGTTCAAAACTATACCTTGTCTAAGTATGCGAACAATAAAGAATATATTACTAATATTCAAGTGACATGGCAATAAATAAAACTTGTCAGTAAATTTCAACTCTACTGATCCAAAATGAAGTCTGCAATGTTTGAAAGGCAGTCACCAATACATGGGTGGTCAAGGTACAACTTGATTAAAATGCGGTTAAAAGCACATATGTGCCCACAAATGCATTCATCTTAAAATATTGTTGTTCTATCATTTCTTAAAAATTAATTTACTAACAGTTTGAGTTTGGTTAAGTTCATATTCATGTATAAGATGATATCTGCAATTATCTAATAACTTATCAATTGACAAGTAAAATAAAAATTATTAAGATCTAAAAGGTTTTATTAGTCCTCTGGCAACCCAATACGTACCACAATAACTTTACTAGTAATGTTATAGGATTGTAAAATAAAAAAAGCAATAAGCAGCATTTTAGTGCACATAGGTGGACCCACATTCTGATTATGAAAATTGCATATGCAACCACAGGTTTAAGAAGATATTGTTGAAGTAAATTTAGCTCAGTGTATCTCCTTTTTGTTGTTTAAATTTATCATATTATAATTAACTTTTCACTATAATCAGATCTTACAATCTTCATAATAATCAAGTACAGTCTCTGTGATTGTTTTTACTTGAGCATATGTTTATATTTGACCTTCTAATTCAACCAACCCTCAAACCGAAACAAAAAAGAAATAAAAGACAAATAAAATGTCATTACTTGCTCCTAACACTACTCAGTTTGTTGATAGTTAATATCCATCAATCATACACACGTTAAGCAAATTACAAGTAAACCTGTCATCAATGATTGATATTCCAAAGCATCCAACTCTCTGTAGTCACTTTAATAATTTAATTGTACTGAATACTCTTAGTAGTTGGCAGTATTTTTTTCCATCATACTCCATATGTAGTTACAATCATCCAAATCTAGATTATATAAAAGTATCACCAACCCCTTTCTGGATGAATATGAGAAACAAATGGACTAGCTGTTAACTATCACAAACATACAACTCATGGATGGACAAGATGTCTTTTCAATGTTTTCCCTAGAAACAAGAATGTTTTCCCTAGAAACAATTTGCATATTCCTAGCAAGTTGAAAGGTGAGAAAATATGGTAACATACAATTAAAGTTGTCTTTTAATCTAAAATTACTCAGGACTTCTTAAATATATGCAAATAAGCAACGATGGGGAAAACATGCAAACGCAGCACAATATATGAAGAAAACTAAGCATTTAAACAAACCTCATAATTTGTTATGATTCCATTGTGAACAACCAAGAACTCGTTGCATGCACCCGATGATTGCGGATGACTATTCCTTGGAGATGGCACACCATGAGTAGCCCATCGAGTGTGAGCTATTCCAGCATGAACAGAAAATGACTTTTCCAAATTTAAGTCCATTGCATCCACCTCTATATAAAACGTCTGATTGTTAGAAATTAGGAAGAGGAAAAAGTAGAGAAAGGTAAACCAACTACATTTAGCAATATACAGGGCCTTCTTCTGAGGAAACAGTTTCAGGACCCAGTGCAGCTATGAAGATACTAATAAAGCTGGCATTAAGGACCGGGTGATGCATCTAAAGCGTCAAATCTATGAAGTAAATAAAACCACATTTAGATTCTGATGATACGAAGTAAAATTAGCATATTTGTGGCATTAGAACATCATCCAGATAGGGAAACCAAACCAAGGGTCAAATTGAAAAATATAGTTAATGATTTATAAGCAACAATATGTCAATATCTCACAATAATATTTCAAGTAGACTAATCAAAGGTTACATCAAAGTCATTGACACACTTGTCCAAAATTTCCTAATCAGTACTGCCCACTGAAACCACTGAATCATTATTTGTGCTTATTTTTGGGCAACAACTACCGATTTCTGAAACCGCTTATTAATTCAGAACTTAAATCCAGAACAATGACTGAAGGGAGCATAAACATCTAACATTTCCCAAAAAACAGAAAGCAACCATTCTATTCAAACATGCGACACCATAGATCAAACGAATTAAGTGTCCAACACCAATTTAACTGTCCCAAAAGCAACAGCAACAGCAAACGAAAACCAACCAAACGCCTAATAAACAACAAATTAAACAAGTATCAAATCATGGTGCTCGAGAATTTCGCCCAGGTAATTCCCTAGGTGGGGAACAGCCCCCCCGTAAGTGTCACCACAAGAAGAAGTACCGACTCGTTATCCAAGTAAACAATCAGAATCAGATCTTTCTCGCAAAGCACAAACCTACGCCCAGCGGCAATTACTCAAAAGAACCCGAAAAAATGGAATAGGCAAGATTATCGAGACACAAGTAATATCTGCGAAGAGAACCAGAAGAATTCTCAACGCACCAGAGTAGACGGATCGGACAAGGGACTCGATCTTCCCCTCCTGCCGGAAAACGAGGGGCGGGGCCGAATTGTATGGCAGCCTGGACGCCTCCTCTCCGCCGTCATTACCCTCCCCCTTGTCGATGGTCACAGGCGAACGGAGATCGGCATCGATCGCGATCCCGGAAGAGTCGTAACCCCTGTATTCGAGGCGCCGCAGCCCGTTGAAGAGGACTTCGAGGATGTACCGCCTCTCCCTCGCCACATTGTAGTTCAAGAACGCGAAAATCCCACACATCTTCCCTCTCGATCGACCCACGCCTCGTCTCGAACGGAGTCGACGGCAATTTCAATTATTTGGGGAGACGAAGAGAAGGCGGTCGTGGAGTCAAATTTGGAATCCACTAAATGGAAGCCTCCTCTCACCGGGAGGAAATCGAAGTTAATGGTCGTGCGAGTGTCCTCACGGTCACACCTCCGCGCATCGACCGTCTTTAGTGCTTCGTGATTCGCATGCATCTCGACATTGTGAACGGTGGATATTCCAAATTGCACTAAATTGACCGTGCGCCTATGCGCATAGAAGACGAATTCCCCAAATCTTCCACCGAGTCGTGAAGCGGCGGCTGCTTTAGTATATCTTTCGTCGTCGAGTAAAAAAGGTGTATATCCAGTACCGTGCGTTCGATAAGGCAAGTCTTGTAGGCAATGCGATCGGACAGTTCAGATGGATCTGTTCGGCTACTCCCCGGTGGTCATATTCGTATGGTGATCCACTAATAAGCCGCTGCCATTTGTCCTTTAGCACGCGGCGGATGAGGTCCCGGGTGATTCGTGGGCTGTTCGTTTATCACGTTTCCGGAAGATATTCGCGTCTCTGTCAGCATCAAGGCCAACCGTTCTCGGCAATTTCCTGGCGCTACGAGGACCAGTGGATTAGGAGTTTGACTTTTATGCGGGACTTGGTCTTCGACGACTGGCCTGAGGATAAGTGGGATGTTGACATTAACAACGTCGATTTGGTTGGACCCACATCCTTAACCTCGAGTCCAGGGCACCGCTCAGAGTGTTCTACGATTCGTGCTGATGGAGAGATCTCGTGCAGCAGCGAACATTTGATTAGACGAGCTCGTGACGGGTATGCAACGTGGCACCAGGTAATTGGCTGAAACACGTAAGCTGGGGGCATCTGCGCTAGACAACTGGGAACGAACTGGCAGAATTAGACGCGCCGAAAAGTCCATCTCTCGATCGCCGGTCAACTGGACGCGCCCGACTTCCACGTGAATATAACGATCACTATTAGCGAGATTTGATCGTGTAATGTGTTATGGTTATTAAAAAAATAACGTTAACATAGTTATAAAACGGTTTGATTGGAACGTTTCATAGCTAAATCTCATAGTTTGAATAACAACATTAGCTTGGATTTAACAAAAATACATAAGAATACATTGAAATGATTATTTTTGGAGTGCCTTGATTTTTGAAAAAATTGACAAGTGATGGGTTTTTATGATCGTATATCTTGTATGGAACGTTGCATGATGCAAAAGGTATGTCATTGGACTATTTCAGACTTAAGTATCATAATTTCAGCCCTAAATCAACTGTAAATGACTTGTACGATTTGAGGTTTAACTATGGTTCATGAGAAAATTTAAAGCTTTTTGTCTCTTTTTATAATATGTGATATTGAATAAGGAGCCTAAAGATCGATGCGGAGGGTTTGTATTCGACAATTTTGAAAAAATATATATAATCTCCATCACTAAGATTTAGATATTGATCACGTATTTAAGGACGTTCAGAAAAATATAATCGCTTTTTTTTTTTTGTCAAAATATGGCCATGTTATTACTTCTTGCGTTTACTTTTTAGCTTTCAAATTTCGCCACTTAAAAAGTCAGAGGCTTTGGTTTCTGCCTTTTACATCTATTTTATCTTTTTTCTGGGTTTCTCACATAGGTTTGGTTCGATAAATTTTAATTTATTTACATAAATTTGAGCCGTTTTTTTTTTCAATTACACACTATCAGAGAATATTAAAAAATCAGTCTTGAGAAATAAAATTCAAAACTTAACATAAAAATATCAATATATATATATATATATATATATAAATTTAGAATACATATCAAAATTAACTTTAGGTATTTATATTTTTATGAATGATATTTCTGTACATTTCGATATATATATATTCAATTATATAGTTTAGAGTAAATTATTATTGATAAAACTCTTTTAATTCTCATCTTTTACATATTACATGTAATTAAGTTGTAGGTTATAGGCTAATCTTATTTAATTTTATTTTTAAAAAAATAATTTCTAATGTATTTATATCATTTTTAATTTTAAAGTTATTAACGTTGAACGTGAAATGAATCATTCTTTTTGGGAAAACATCATTTCACATGGTACATAATAAAGTTGAGACATTAATTTGAAGGTCCCAAAGATCTCTAAAGTCATTTATACTCTTTTCTGAAAACAATATAATGACTCCAGTATGAGTTTTTTTTTTTTTCCAAAAACTTGTCCACGGAACCTACAATATGAATAGCACCTACGGTGGTGAAACCAATTGACAAAACACAATACAAGGCTTAGTACTATGGGGTTTTTCCATTATGTGATCAATAATACATTGCAAGATCAGTCATCCATAGAGACAACCATAGCAGCTTTGGAGAAAAGAAATCATCTCTGTTTTTACATCAATATCTATTTTATCATGAATACCTTTTATAACAAATAACTATATGAAAACTTATAATGGTACAAACTTCTCAACTAGATGGGAAGAATATCGGCGTAGAGGAAATGATGACCTAACACATTGTTGGAAAAGGCTGGAGTCCAAGAGGAAGATCTAACCATGGATGTTGGCTGAGATGGCGTCCAACCTCTTGATCATTTACCTTTTTGATGAATCATTTTTCCCATGGAATCATAACGGCGTCAAAAAAAGGAATTTGTAGTCCATGCTTATAAAGAATTGTAACTTATCATTGATGAATTTACTCGAGACACTTGCGAATAGGAAAGTCGCAGGTTTTTGTTTGATCTTGCTAGACAATGGGAAAGATACGCAACACAAGATAGCAAACGGTAGATACAGAGGTTTGACTATGGCACGGAAGGTGGGGAATCTCCAAGGCTCTCTTCTGAGCATATCCTCTCAATCCATCAACGGGAATGCTACGAAACCATGGATGTTATGTGGAATTTTGCCGTAGAAATAATTTAGTTTATATAATTATTTTTTTAGATTTATTGGTTTGTTTGTGCAGACATTAACACTATCTAAAGTGCTAAGGATAAATTAGATGATAGGACTTTCTATCAAACTAAATCTATTTTTATACCTTTTAGAATTTCACTTGGTCTATTGGTTGATGAACAATATATGTTTATAAGAAATTTCAAAAGAGTTTATTTTACATAAAATATCATCAATTAGTTGATTAAAAACTCTAAAAATTATGTAAAAAAATAAATAATTTTTAGTCTTTCTAGATATTAACCTTTTGACTCTTGCATTAAGTTTTTCTAAAAGCTATTTAGGTCGTTTTAGAATTTACATTTTAAGCTTTTAAAGAGTTAAGATTCATTTTAGTTTTTATGATTTACTCATGTCTAAAATAATCCTTATATTTTTAAAAATATAATATATAAGAGTTTACTTACGTAGTATGTTAACTCTGTTAGATTTTATGGCCCTTTATAATTTGATAAGATATAATTAGATTTTGATGAAATATATTGGTCAATAGAAAAAAAATTTCACTTAAAGTATGATTCTTTAGGAGATAACCTTGATGGGAGAAAATTGCCCAAATGTTAGGTCGACTCTGATACCAAATGTCATGACCTGAGTCTGATGAGCCAACGGGAGTTAACATAGTATACTCATCAAGCCCATATAAGCTAATCAGACACATTGCCTACTTCAGATGTGGGACTAATGGGATGTTACATGAACACAAGAAGATATATAAAGGTTATCTCAGTTGAGGGATTACAGTCTTTCCCTCAACTCTTCTCCCTAACTATCAATTTAGGTGATCCTATAAAAAGATAGGAAGAGAGGAGAAGGATCTAGTTCCTTTTATAGATTCATAGCGATCTTGGATTAAAGGTGTGCCTTTACATATCAAATTGAGATCTCTTTTCAGATGACATCAAAAGGTATGCATTGTTAAACCAAATCTAATTATTTGATTTCAATCCTGGCATAAAAAGATTATTTCTACATTTAATATAGCATATTACAGACTTTATGCTTATAAATTGGTATTAGAGCCTAGGTTCTTGAGATTAAATATATTAGATATATTATTTTATTTATGATGCATAAATGATATCTATTCTTCGATGATCGTGAAGCAGCAATGGTCGCTATCGATCTTACTGCATACAGCCAACGATTCTATTGTGCTGGGCAGCATGCGCATTGCAACACAACAGGCGTGGCAGAACCCGCGTCCATGTGACGACCGCGGGCATGCAGGAGCCGCATCTAAGTGGCAGCCATGCGCGGGCATAAGCTGCTTCCAAACGGCAACCGCGTGCGGGTTGGCTGGGCCCAATCGACGGTCGCATAAGAATATACAACCGCCCAAGCGGCCATACAGGCATAGGCCGCACCCAAGCAGCAACCACACATTATCACGGACTTGGCTGGTTTTGCCTAAGTCATGCGGCACCCTTGCATGTCCGTCCACAAAGGTCAGCCTCCCCGAAACCTCCCATGGTCCCTTAGGACCTACAAAAGAGAAAACGTGTTAGAGAAAGCGTCTCACTCGAGATCCATAAGCAAACATTTCATAAAACACTTTATAGCCAATATAAATTATAAGTAGACTTTACAACCTCTGAACGGTTGCACAACTAAGGGTCAAAATGGTCCATTACAGATCGAATATCTCTCACAAGTGTCCACATGACACAATCTTTGTTTATAAGCCTAAAACGACTATAAAACCTAACTAAAATGGGGTTGTTAAGCCTTCGACAGTCCCTCTACATGTTGTGTAAAGCATGAACAAACCAAAAGACACAGATATACATAAGCATTACATCAAACATCATATTTAGAATTTTATCCGTGACATTCTCCCCCACTCATTCCTTCGATATCCTTATCGAAGCCTTTACCAACACTATAACTCCTCGCCTTTGCTGAGTCTTCAATCTTCTGCTCCAACTGCAATGCGTCTCTTAGCTCCCAACTACTCTCCGATGCTGTTGTTGAGTAGTCAAACTTTTGATCCGCCATGCTGCTTCAACTCGCCAATGACTCTGACTCGAGTATGGAGTTGGTTGAGTTGTGTTGATCCCTGTTGGTTCCTTCAAATGAAAGAAAAGATCATCCTTACTATGCGCTAATCTCTCAAATACCTTATGCTGCTTGAACTCGATGGATGCTTCTTGGAGCTTTAACAAGCATCGCCTCGTAAACT